TGGTAATGCGGCCGTCGTTGGCCAGTTACGTTTCCACGTAACTGGAAAACTGGCGCATTATCAGCCTTGAAATGATCGGCAGGCACGATTCCAAATGAATTATGTGCAGGCAGGTTCCCGCCCGGCATGCATCTCTTAGAGGAATTACACTCGACCTTCAGGACATCGGGAATATTTCTGTCACTATTGAGGCGCAGTTCTACAAGGCCACTTTTTGATCGACCCTCATGCTTTCACTCGTCCTAGAACGTGAGTGATTTCATAAAATACCCCAACGACTCTGGTAAATGACGTGCTTTTTCTACTCTCGACACGAAAAAGATTGGCGAAACAGGACGAATGCGCGAGCACCTTGTCTTCGGTGTCTTAGCCGCCAATATGTATTTATTGCGATTGGAACAGGATTGGTCGAATCGCTGCACACCTCATCTCTCAACATGACATGAAAGACATGGAGAAATCCTCCAGAGGCACTGACACCTTAGTGATTATATCATCGTCATTGACTCTGGTCAGGCCCCTCTCCGGCAAGAAAGGAATAAATCAGAATAGGAAGCATTTTTCCTGAAAACCATGAAAAGGTGATTCACTGGTAATTTATCGGTAATATTAAAGGTAAGCACTGCTAGGGTAATTGCCAGTAATCTGATAATGTTACGGTAATGTTACACAACCCTATTCACGCCAAATGCTTTAGCCAAATCCTGCTCGAGTCAAAACAAGAGAAAAAGTTTGTTGCCTCACGCACAATGTGAGTCGCGCATATAATCGAAGTAGGAGGGTGAACTCGCTCTCCTCGACGCCTTCAGTCTTCCAGCTCCAAGCGAGAGCAATGAGAGACTGACCTGAGCGGGAGAGAGGAGGCAGTCCTCGCGTGGCCCCTAAGGGATGGACGCTGGGTCGCCCTCGTTGTACCCAAAGGGGCTGATGGTCCCTCGAGGTTGCAGGGCGGGCGCGGCTCCTCCGAGCGAGGATCTGAGGGGAATGACGCTGCGTTTTCGTCGGTGTGTTTCAGTGGGAACGGAGCATGATCTTTCCCCAAGGAATTATTATGTATCTAACAAGAGGAAAAAGAAGTGAAATCGATGGGTAGAGCGGGAGATAAGTATGGATCTTAGACATTTAGCAGTAATGGAGGAAGGCAGAACGATCGGCTCTTGGAGATGGGAATTACTATGGTCCGTCTGGCGGCCTGAAAATTCGCCAAATGAAAAGAAAGAAAATAAATGTCGAAATGCCTTGTCAACTTCGTCATTATTTCATTCTGATATATTCATGCACCCACGACAGAATAAACATATAAGGAAAAAAATGGTAAAATACATTGCCTAAACCGCCACCCTCTACTCTTGAGAACGTCGCATGAAACGACAGGTCCACGTATCTCCAGTGCAAATACGATGAGGTAGGTGAATTCGTTATCGAAAGCAGTTCGAAAAAAAAAGAAAGCTGAAAAAGCATGAAAATTTGGGAAGGATAGAAACCCTATGCGGGAAAAATCATTTTGTGAACCCAAAGGGAGAAAAAAAGATGGGTATACGTAGATATGGAATCAGAAATTGAATGGGGCATAGTAGAAACCTCGCCAGATCCAGCGGGAGTTCTTGTATGACACGGGGGCCAACTGGACGAGTGTGATGTTGGCCACTTGACAATTGTAATCGTCCAAGCTGCGTCCGCCGGTGCTGTTGGTGCCGTTCTTGAACTGGACGCAGGAAGCCTTGAGCACGTCGAACAGGGTCTTCCCCGTGCCGTTCGCCTTCGGGGTCCCATGGTCTCACATGGAGAAGGAGTTGGAGTTGGTGATGCCAACTTGCACTTGCCAACTTGGTGATGCTTCGTGGAACCGCTCGGGATGAAAATGGGGCAGAAGTCGTGGGCCCGACGGCATCGATCGACTTGGGATTCTTTGCCGAGATTGTCGAAGGAAGTGGCGATGTCTCCGAATCCGCACCGAACGTTACCCGGAAACCAGAACGTCAGCTTTTTTCCTTCTTCGATACCTTTCTCCTTCGTAAGGAAGAGGGGATGCAACGGAATAGCCAGATAGCGTTAACACTCCATCTGGCTATTCCAGACTGGAGGATTTTTCCTCCAGGTGTATAAATCACCTGTTTGCATTACTCATTTATTATAGCTAACAGCAACTCTTCATTCACTTTTGGTTCATCGGAGATGCTCAAATTGGCATCCGCCAGAGTTTCAACATTTAAAAGACAACAATGACAAAATTGCAACTGGAATTTCTTTGGGCCACCCTGTATTTTTTTTTTCAACAGAACCAGTGCGATCATCGAAAACCGACCAGGGAAGTGCAAGTGCCCCAATGGACGCGCAGGCGATACAAATACATTTCCACGTAGCTGTATTTCCTTTTTTCTCTTCGCACGAATCCACTAGAGAAAAGAGACAGAACGGAAGAGGAAGGAAGACGAGACAGACGGAAAGGGAAAAGATGAAAGAACCTGGCTTGATGGCCTCGAAAACGCTCGATCGTTCCTCCTCGAGTCCATCTTCCCCGGAGGTGGCCTGGGTGCAGTCGTGGATGTCCTGGAGGATCGTCGTGGATGTCCTGGAGGATCGTCGCGAAGTTCAGGGCGGTCAGAGTGTTCAGGAAATCTGATCATCATCTTCCTCAAGGCATGATGAGATGAGATTGCTTGATAACCCATTCCCCCCCCCCTCACCCCCTCACCCCCCCTCATCCCCCCTCATCCCCACCTTGAGGGACAGTAATTTCGTTTGGGAGAGGTAAATTTACAGGGTAATACAACGAGAGATACCCACATAATTTTTAATGCGAAGAATAAAATCCACTAATGACACAAAAGTACACGAGTGAAATAGAAGACTTGTCTTGTAGCGTTAGATAGAGAGCCATCACATCAGTACTTCACCTAAGAGCGATAAAATATGAATATTAAAAAAGTTAGTGCATTATAATCTTCCTAAAAGAAATGAGTGGGGTATCTCTCGTTGGATCACCCAGTATTTGAGGAGATATTGCCCCCATAGCTCCCCCCACCCCCCTTCCCCCTCCCCCCTCTGGACCCGGACTTGTTCTCGCCCCAAGAAATGAGAGGAAGAGACGAACACGGAAGAGCGCCGCTATCCGGTTCTCGACGCGAGTCACGGGCTCGAGCCTGCAGGAATGCACGCCGATCGGGCCTGACAGCTCCTCCGTCCCGTTCGAATTACGGTTTCCAAGTCGCAATTTCAAGGATTCGACGGGGGGAAAGACCGCTGCGCCCGTGACGGCTCGTCTGGGCGAGCAAAAACAACAAACACAACAAAATATCGAAACTCCCTGGAGGTTCGTTCCCGTACGATTTGAAAATCTCCAGTAAGATATGAAATATCTGCGAGATATCTCTGAGGACCGTTGGATTCCTTCTCGGTCGACGCAAAAACGAAGGAAGTCCGGTCTCTGGCAGTCGACCCCGTCCATCATCGCTTTTGGGAGGTCCTAAAAAGTCGTTTCAGACTTCAACGGTGGGTAAGGTAAAAGTGTACTGAAAGGGCTGACATCCCAGACGCCTACAGAGAAAGGTGAAAATCGTGAGTCCGTGCGTTAGAATAAATATATTTCCGAATGACGAAAGGTAACCAGTTTTGTTGGACCGACAATCGCTTACAACTGTGTAATGAGCTGTAGAATGACGATGACGGGACTGAACGATGTTGAAAAAGAAGAGACTGCAGTTTGTCGAGGTGGAACGAGAGCAGAGGAGGAGGAGGACCGAGGAGGACGCGAGAGAGTAAACGACCGCTTTACTGGCCAGTGGCCTTGATCTTGGTGAGGGTGGTCGGCATCACGACCATGACTCATCTGGATTTCGTTCCAACTGTTCTGAATTTCCGGATCTGGTGTGGGCCCCACTCACTCGTCAAAAAGTGCCGAAATCCTCTCGTTGAATCAGGGATTCGTTTCTAATCAGAAAACATCTAAATACGAAGAAAAGCGATCACTTCTCTCAACTTGGAATCGCGGAAGAGAAAAATAAGGTTTGGTGTTTATAATCCATGAAAGGGAATCAGTTCCATCGTGAATATTTAACATATGTCATCCAGAATTTCCTCCTCGTTGGGAAGAAACCCGCACTGCGGATTGCCAATTCTCTAACCATCCTCGAAGTGGAGGCCTCATCGAACATTTCTTGTGGGAGGGGGTGGGGAGAGGTGTCCGACACATTTTGCCGCAAAGAAGGTTAATCGAATGAAGGGAATCCCAAAGGATAGATGAAGATTTGGGAAAAATCCGGGAAGAAATGAGCTTTGGAAGGGGATTTCCTTCTTTTCCCATTGGTTGCTTGAAATTTCGAATCACAGTCATGGAAAAGTCTATACCTCTAGAAAGAACCCCCTTCCCTCTTTCCGTTTATAATGGCTGAAGGAGGGCGGTGTGAGCGCTGTTCTTCCGAACGAGTATCTAAGGGAATGACGCTGCAGTTTCAACGGTGTGTCCCAGTTGGAACGGAGCAGCGTTTTCGCGCAAGGAATAATTACATATCGACCGAGAGGGATGAGAAAAGAAGTCGATGGGTCGAGCGAGAACTAAGTGTTGATTTTAGACATTTAACAGTAATGGACGAAGGAAGAATGATGGACTCTTGGAAATGGGGAGTTCCACGTACGAACAGGTAGCCTGAAAATTTTCCAATTAATGGGGAAATAAACCAGACATGAAATTCTTGTCATTATCGTCATTGTTACATTTATACATGCATGCACCCACGACAATGAACATCATATAAGGCAAGTAGGTTAACATGCATAGGATAAATCTTCACTCTCGGCTCTGGAAAACGCGGCATCAAACAACGACTGGTCCACATAGTTGCTGTGGAATGAAACGACGAGGTACGCGAATTCTTTATCGGATGTAGTTTGAAAAAGGAAAACCGCAAAAAACATGACAAATTTCAAAGGACGGAAACCACGTTCGGGAAAATCCATTTCGTGAAGCCGGATGTGGGAGGTGAATATACTTAGAGATGAAATCAGAAATTGAACGGGGCATAGTAATAGCCTCGCCAGATCCATCGGGAATTCTTGTAAGACACGGGAGATTGCTGGACGAGGGTGATGTTGGCCACTTGACAATTGTAATCGTCCAAGCTGCATCCGCCGGTGCTGTTGGTGCCGCTCTTGAACTGGACGCAAGAAGCCTTGAGCACGTCGAACAGCGTCTTCCCCGTGTTGTCCGCTTTCGAGGTCCCCACCTTCTTCAGGCAATTCTTGAAGTGCGTGTCGCAGTCGCAGTGAGACCTGGCAAACGCGAAGACAATGTTAAAATTCGGTTTAAGAGAGCTTGAGGGCAAACCAGCCGAGTATTACATGGTGAAGGAGTTGGAGTTGTAGAGGCCGTACTTAGTGGTCTTGCTCGAAATGTAGATGGGGCAAAAGTCATGGCCCCGACAGCATCGATCGACCTGGGATTCCTTCCCGAGATTGTCGAAGGAATCGGCTTTGTCCCCCGATCCGCACCAACGGGTACCTGGAAACCAAAATGGCAGGTTCTCTCTTTTCGATCCCTCGTACCTCGAAGAGGAAAAGGCGAGTTAATATTTCTCCATCGTTCTCCGACGACGGCAGTGCGATCACGGACAAAGAAACGACCTCGAGGAGCGCAGTGCGCGAATGGACACAACGTCGTGACCGTCTGAAATCCGAGTTCGCTATTCTCGAGACCAGATTCGAAAGATGCCTCACCTCTCCCAGGAAAGAGAAAGAACGGAGCGAAAAGGAACGGAGACGGAAAGAGAAAGGATGAAAGAACCTGGCTTGATGGCCGCGAAGACGCTGAATCCGTTCTTGGTCGAGTCGACCTTCCCCGGGGCCGACTGGGTGCAGTTGTCGATGTCCTGCAAGATCGTCGCGAAGTCCACGGCGGTCCCGGTGTATCCTGCGGCCGTGAGGCTGGCCAAATGGGAGTCCCTTTGAGCCGATGTCCTAAATGGAGATCGGTCGTGTGTCGTTCGTGGAACGTGCGAACGACTCGAATGAGTAAAAGTTGGGCTTTGGGAAATTCTGGGGTTTTGAGTTGCTCCGAGATATTAAAATAGTTAGCTGGAATCTCCCGTGTAAAGTTGTCTCGAAATTTAACCACCTATGTGATCGTAAAAGCCGAACGTGCTACCTTACGTATCTTACACGTCATCGTAGATGGTACATGTTAGAGAAGATCCGGAAGTGTCGAACGTGACCACGGTGAGAAGGTAATAGTGGGCCACGAGGGCGGAACGGACGGACTCCAGGACGCACGCGGCGACGATGACCGCGGCCAAAGGAAATCCCTTCTTTCCGACCATGCTTCACGATCCCGAGAAAAGCTCCGAGATTCGCCACCTGGTCCACTGCACTCTCAAAGGTGATTTTCTCTCGCAGGGGAGTTCTATTGCAACGGGATTCCACGCAGGTTACTCGTTTGTCGATCGCGGAACTGTACGAACCTTTTCACGGATTCGACCTGACGTGGATTTCCGGTTTGGGACAGGACCCCGAAATCAACGTACAAACAATGTACATAGAACTAAAATATATGTATATATTTCTATATACAACTTTAGTTGTATACAGAACTGTATATAGAACTAAAATAAATAATCTGTTATCGTCCGGCCACGCGGCCAGGATCTCGCCGTTCGGGGGAGCGTTCTCAGGAAATCACAAAAATAAAAAAGTCGTCATTACGTCGTGATGAGATCAATCACAACACGTCCCCCCCCCCCCACGAAGCTGTTTACGCCGCGAGAAAAAAGAGGATCTGGGAGCTCAGAGAAACGCTAACTGGCACTACCGACTGCCGACGTGGCAACAGCTAGAACTTGCCTCGGTACACGCCGATCGGGCCTGACGACACTTCTGCCGCGTGAGCGAATTTCCCCGCCACACTTTCAAGGATTTGACAAGGGGAAATACTGCGTGCTATTTGCAGTGAAGCGTCACTTCCATGGAGAGAAAATTTTCCTTTCGTCTGGCAGAAAGAATACGGAATGGTGTCGAGACTGAAATCGCGACGTGTCGACCCCGCGAAAAAAAAAAGAATTAATGGAGTGGGAGAAAAATATCTTAAAAGGCTTTCCTACCTGCAGATACATGGTAATCCTGCATTATTTAATAAACTTAGCCTATACCTATTATACCTATTCATTATACCTATTCAAATTTTATAAGTTATACCTATTCAAATTTTTTTTTTACGAGTAGTCTATAACTTTTTGCTCTCGAACTGCATTTGGAGAGATGAGCTCATACTCGATCGGCATTCGATTCTCCCAAAAGGTGAAACACCGGTGACCGGTAGCACTGCCTCCGTTAAGTCAGACTCAGACGCGAAGTCCGACTTCGGGAGCCTGCCTTCAATTCCAGCCGACCTCACCGACCCGAGGAATCGGCGGAACCGAGGCTAGGCCCTCTCGAGTCGGGCCTCTCGACGAGTCAGACCTCCGCGAGTCCGACTCGGACGGAGGAGCGGAAGCGACTGACCCAAAGACCTTATAAGAAGACTGGGCACTCGGAGAAACCTTCTCCCCTGGTGGTTGGCGCCGGAACTACGCAGAACTGACCAATGGGATCATTGGATTGGAATGTTGCATTAAATATGGCTGCTTCTTGTTCCAAGTACTGCGCCTACGCACCGTGCCAGGAGAAATTGGGCCAAATGGATGGAGATTTTCCGTTGCATCGGTTTCCTATGGATCCGGAAAGGCGCGCGCATGTATTCACCTTGGGCTTTGCTCTAGGCCTATGGTCATGGCTTTACACGTATTGTCACGATATTGTATATAGTGTTTTTTTTTTTTTTTGCTTTAATCCATAGTCCAGAGACCCGAATGAGTGTATTTTCTAGGATCGACGCGAGATTCGCCTCTGGCGCCACGTTATTTACCACGCCTTAAACCGGTACTTATTATGTCTAAATATCTGATGTGTGAAGGGAAGGATGGGTCCCTTAGTACCAACCTTATGTCGGGAGTCAGGAGTATTTCCACCGGTATCCTGAAGGAAGTTGATTAGAAGTTAAGCGCGAGGAAACAGTGTACACCCCATAGGGAGGTTGAGCCGAGCGGCGAGGTTCAGTACCCTCTACGCCCTCGTGCCGAATCACCGTCCATACGGTGAACTTGC